AGGAGAGGAGGAGGAGGAGGAGGAGGAAGGAGGAGGAGGAAGAGGAGGAGGATGAGGAGGAGGAGGAGGAGGAGGAGGAGGGGCATGAGGAGGAGGAGGAGGAGGAGGAGGAGGAGGAGGAGGAGGAGGAGGAGGAGGAGGAGGAGGAGGAGGAGGAGGAGGAGGAGAGGGAGAACCAAAAGGACGAGGAGCAGCACCCCGTCGGGCGACGAAATCTACACACACATCCACTGCTCCCTGGCCGGGCCCTTTTCCTGGGCCCAGGAGATGTGCACACGGCCTCGTGGCCACGCCAGGACGGCGTGGCGCAATTACACCGCCGCCAGGCTCAGGAAAAGGCCTGGCCAGAGAGCCGTGGAACATTCAAAAAGTGAGAACCCCCCAAAATGTCAGGGGACGATCTTCTTCTGTTTTATTCTTGAATGCTTTCCAGCATTTGCTGGACTATTTTCAGTTTTTCGTCCAAAGCCCCATGTTGGAGGACATGCCCGAGCTGACCCTACCCCAGGGGAACGGTGGGGAACGTCCGGCGCGAGCTGTGCACGCCGCCAGAGGCCAGTGCCTCGGGCCTGTCCCGCCCGCTGCCCCCGCAGACGCACCCGCAGCTGCGCGCCGTGGTCCCTCTGGCGGTCGACAGGGCCATCAAGGAGGTCATCTCCGCGGTGGTGGAGCGATCGGCCAGCCCCTCCCGCGCGCCCGCCCGCTTGCAGCGTGCAGGAGGACCGGGTCTCGGGAAGGCCTGGATCTATCGCTCCTTGGCGTCCCAGAGCGCGCTGAGAGAGAGCGTTCCGGATCGCTCTCAGACGGCCGCGGTGCCCGACGCATCTTCCAGACCCCGCCAGCTCTCAGAGATTCCTGGCGGATCTTCGTCGTCATTCGTGGTCCTGTGGCCTTCGTCTTCTCTGGCAGCGGGGGCGGGAACGCGCGGCACCGAGCGCGGAGTCTGGAGCTGTCAGCCGGCCCTCAGTTTCTGTGGCCACATGTGAACCCCACCCCCATCCTTCACGAATCCGAAGGGTCACTTCGTTCGGGAGCTTTCGAGCGGAGTGAACCCCCACCCCTCCGTTGAAATCGTGGGGGATGGGAGTGTACGGCGTACGGTTTACATGTGGCCACCTATAGTCTTAAGTCGGGTCTGTCCCTCTACAGGAGGAGAATTCAAAGATAGTCAAACAAAATATCAGGGCGAAGGACCCAACCATATGCAGTTGTGGGTACCGCAATTGTGAATATCTTCTTCGGTGAAGCTCCCTATGGGGCCACGAAGTGCTGCATTGGGTGGGGGAGGCGCATGCGGGCGGCAGCACCGGGGCCGTCGGTGGAGCTCCCTATGGGGCCACAAAACGTTGTACTGGGTGGGCGAAAATGCCAAATTCGGTTTTCGGGACGCAAGCGGACGGTCTCACTGGGGGCTTCGGTGGAGCTTCCCATGGGGCCACGAAACGTTGTCGTTGTACTGGGTGGGTGAACATGCCACATTTGGCGTGCCCACTGGGGGCTTCGGTGCAGTGGAGCTCCCTATGGGGCCACGAAACGTTCTACTGGGTGGGCGATAATGTCCGATTAGGTTTTCGGAGCCCATGCGGACGGTCCCACTCGGGGCTTCAGTGGAGCTCCTTATAGGGGCCACGAAGCGCTATACTGGGTAAGTGAAAGTGCCAAGTTGGGCGTGTGGGACGCATGCGGGCGGTCCCAGTGGGGGCTTCGGTGGAGCTCCCTGTGGGGTCACAAAACGTTGTACTGGGTGGGTGAAAATGCCATTTTGGGTTTTCAGGACGCATGCGGACGGTGGCACTGGGGCCTTCGGTGGAGCTCCTAATGGGGCCACGAAACGCTGTACTCGGTGCATGCAACGCAGGGAGGATGGCGGAGGGAGCCACGAAACGCTGTACTGGGTGTGCGGGACGCATGCGGGCGGTTCCACTGGGACCTTCGGTGGGGCTCCCTATGGGGCCACGAAACGCTGTACTGCCGGGGGGGGGGGGTGAAGCGCAGGGAGAAGGCAGGAGGGGGCCACGCAACATTGTGCTGGGTGTGCGGGACGCATGCGGGCGGTCCCACTGGGACCCTCGGTGGGGCTCCGTATGGGGCCACGAAGCTTCGTTCTGTGAGGGTGAAAAGGCAGGGAGGAGGGAGGAGGGGGCAACAAAACGCTGTACTGGGTGTGCGGGACGCATGCGGGCGGTCCCACTGGGACCCTCGGTGGGGCTCCCTCCCTATGGGGCCACAAAGCGCTGCAGCGGGTGGGTGAAGCGCAGGGAGGAGGGAGGAGGGGGCCACGAAACGCTGTACTGGGTGTGCGGGACGCATGCGGGCGGTCCCACTGGGACCTTCGGTGGGGGCTCCCTATGGGGCCACGAAGCGCTGCAGTGCGTGGGCGAAGCGCAGGGAGGAGGGGGAGGAGGGGAAGGGAGGTGGGAGGAGAGGAGAGGAGAGGAGAGGAGAGGAGAGGAGAGGAGAGAGGAGAGGAGAGGAGAGGAGAGGAGAGGAGAGGAGAGGAACGCGGGGCACCGTCTCTTCAAAACGGGGACCCAACACCACAGGATGGTTGGGAATAGAAATATGGGGACGAGTTTTGTAGCACTCTTTGGCTAGTGTTGAATATGTGTTTGGGGTATTTCTGGATGTTCGTCCAAACATCCGCCTGCAGGGGGGGGCATGCCCGGCCTGAAGCTATATGCGCAGGCGGCCGGCAGAGCTGCTGTCGGCCTCGAGGGGCTCCGCCTGGGCGCCGCCGCAGAGCACCCGCGCGCCGCTCGCGGCCGCCCCGCCCTCGGAGGACCGCCCTCGGCATATCCTCGGGACGCGAGTCGATACTCCTCGGGACGCGTGTTGGCCCAAGTGACCTGTGTGTCCCCTCCCTCCTCCCACCCCTTGCTCCCCTCCTCCCCTCCCCTCCTCCCGCCCTCCCCCTTTCCCTCCTCTCCTCCTCCTCCTCCTCCTCCTCCTCCTCCTCCTCCTCCTCCTCCTCCTCCTCCTCCAGCAACGTTTTTTGTTTGTTTTGTTTGTATGTGTGTGTGTGTGTGTGTGTGTGCTTACCTCGCTCAGTTCCGTCGATGGGGCGCAGACCGTGGTAGCCTTCATGACCTACGCCTCCGGCGTCGCATTTGGGGGCTTCGGACAAACACGCGTTGGCGCTAGCACACGCTCGAAGCGGGGCTTAAACACCTCAGCTCGTGGCAGAGCGGAGCCTGGAGAATGGTGGAGCATCGCCCCGTGTTCAAAAGCGGGGGTGATGGCGACCTGCCTCGATGTTGAGGTGCTTATTACGGAGCGCCTTGCGATGCTACGCCTCTCGATCGCATTCGCAGGAGGATGAGGAGGAGGAGGACCAGGAGCAGAATGAGTTGGAGTACCCATCTGGGGAACCCGCATCATGGCGTCTTCGCGCCAATGTTGGCACGCCCCTCACGCGGATCGTTCCCCACAGGGAAACGCTGCTACGGCTCCAGGGGTGAGGCTCGCAGTGCGTCGCCGAGCCCATTTTGGCACAGTCTTCCGCGTATCATCCTCCCAGGGAGCTCCAGCTGCAGACCCAGTGGGAGAGCTCGCATCGCGTCGTCGCGCCCATTTCGACAAAGAGCCCCAATTGCTTCCCTCTTGCGCTGCGCTGTAAATTGAGAGGGCCATCTCTTGCGCGGCTCGCAGCTGCACAGGGGCAGGTCCTTCGCGGGGTCCTCATCATCTTGCGTCCCACCCAGTGATAACGTCGACTCGTGGCCTGGCTCGTGGGGGGCTGACTTTCCCGATTTAGTCGAGGAGCTTCGTGATCCATGTCTGGTTTCAGTGCCCCCCGCGCTCTTCTCACTTCCTCGAGGATGCTTCTTCATGCCAAAACAAATCACACCCGTTCACGCGTAGAATTTCGTAGCATGGTGTTAGCAGGTAAACGATTTGCATGTCATACCACGGCGCACATCATATTGTCCAGTATACCATTATGATATGGAATGGCATTGAACTGTCTAGCATGGCCCAGGGGTTCTACAGTATACGACGTGGTGTCACGACATGGCAGCATGACCGAGCACATCGTATCTCGTTCAGAAAGGATGGCGCATATGCGATGTACGCCTTCAACTATTACATCAGCCTTTCCATGCATGACGCTGGAAGGGCAACACGCGGCACGCTTTCACCCCTGGGCCCAGAGCAGAGGCTGGCATGTGACAGTTCAGCTTGCCTCAAGCTCCTCCTCCTCCTCCTCCTCCTCCTCCAGGCAGAAAGCCTGCCCCGACTCACGCTTGCGCATTTGTGGCCAGAGCCGCACCGCTCAAACAGGGCATTACGATTCGTAGTATGAGTATTATCCTGAGTAGTATGAATATGATTTTTATTTTTCGTGTTATGAGTATCCGTAGACTCATTCTTATTGTTAGTATTTCGTGTTTGCCTGCTCTCTGCCCGCGGCCGAGCGGACGCTGGCTCTGGCACCAGCGCTGCGCCCCCGGCCGGCCCCTCCCCAGATCCCTGGCCTCCACCCGGGGCCTTCGGCCCACCCGGCCCGCCCCCCCACCCTGGAGGGCTTCTCCGAAGGGCTTAGGCGACCCGTCCTCCTCCTCCTCCTCCTCCTCCTCCTCCTCCTCCTTCTCCTCGGGTCGCCTACGGCCCCGGGGGAAACTGTGCCCCCCCCCGTCACCCACGACGTTGTGCGGTTTTCCATGGTGGCCGTTCGGGTCATGCGAATTCCGCGCAAAACGTTTTGGTTTGTTGTCTTGGTCCCCTGCCTCCTTTCTGCTCCTCCCCGAGTGTCGTTTTCCTCGCTTGCCAGTGGCACCTTGAGGCACAGTCTTGCTGTGGTGATCTGCAGCGCTCACACATCGAGGTAGTATCGTCGCCTGTGCGAGAGAACAACAAAAACACCCCCGTCACCCACGACGCCGCAGGCCCCCCTTTTGGCCAACGGAGAGAGGGGGACGAGGGACACAACGAGGGAAGCAGTACCGCCCTCGAGGGCCTCGGTGTTCGGACGCGTGCCTTCGATCCAGGACGGGGGGAGCCTCGTCGCGGCCCAGGCTCGCCGCTTGGCAATGGGGAGGCTGTCCGTTCCAGACGTGTTGCGGCGTCCCCGGTGGCACCACGGTGACTGTGTGCTCCCAGGGGACGGCAGACACGCGTCCGACAAGAACAGCATCGTGCGAGTGGACCCCCCGACTCCAACTCGGGGCGAGCGCGCGCCGGATTGCCAGGAGAACTGCGGCCATCAGACACTCCCCAAGTGCAGCACAGGATACGTCGGGCTTGTCCCACTATCGTCGCTGGTATTGTCAGCATCATCCCCACCACACCGCCACTCCTCACCACCATCCGTATCCATTTGGGCTTGCGCGGCTGGTGAGAAGAGTATTGGTCAATGAACGGCGAATGCTCCGTCACACAAGCGAGGCTTAAAACCCAAAGCCGTTCGCTTCGTCCGCTCGCGGAAGGATTCATAGCGACCAGCGCCAGCATTCGCACGCGTGCTGGCGAGGTCGGACCCATGTCTTCAAGGTCTCGCCTCCATCGCCTGCTCACTGCCGCGTGGGTCGCGACTGTGGCCTCTGGCGCGAAGGCGCCGCAGCTTCGTGTGCGACAGGCGGGCACAGCAGCCGTCAGGCCCAGCAGCCTGGCCGGAAGTTCCGCGACGGCGGCGGCATCGGACGTTGCGTGATGGGGGAGCGAGGTAATCGTGGGGGGGGGGTGGCGGCAGAGGGTGCGCCTCCCGTGCCCAGACCGGGCCCCCCGTGGCCCAAGAGGGGCACGTAAGGCCAGGGTCGCTCCCCCTCCCCCAGCTTATCGCCCCCCCCGTTGAGCAACGCCCGACGGCAGCGGGCTGTGCGTCGGCGGCGCGCCTGCCCCAGGCGGAGGTGTTCAACAGGACGCTGCTGTGGCGGGAGGAAGGTCTCGCCCCGGTTCTCCGGGAGTACAGCGTGTACATCCCCGAGAGCTACAGGCCCGGGGCGCCCAGCGGCCTCGTCCTGGTGTTCCACGGCTGGGGCGACCCCTCCAAAGGGGTGCAGGTGTCGAAGAAGAGAAAGGCGGCATGACGACAAACTCCCGGAGTTCTGCGCGGATCTCCTGGATCGGCGCCGGGAACCCCCTGGCGGTGCCTCTGGCGCCGCCCCTGGTGCGCTCCTCGCGCCAGGGAGGGGGGTTCGGCGCCGATCCCAGAAATCCGCGCGGAGCTTCAAGCATTTATCTTTATGCACTTTTTTGTTCTTCTGAGATGGGCATGGGGCCCTGGCCCAGTTATTACCACTCCTTCTACGACTACCGCAGGGCTGCAGAGAGCAGCGGGTTCATCACGGTGTACCCGGTAGGGCTCTCCGACTGCCGGGGCAAGGAGTGTTTCGATACGCAGAACAAGAGGGGGTATGAGTCTTGGAACGCAACAGGGTCAACGTCGTCTAGAGATGGTGGCAATGCCACATGCGACTTGAGCGTCAAGGAAGGCAACACCTGTTACCGTAGCACAGCTATCAGAAAAGGAGGGTGCCACAAATGTGATTGGACAACTGGGTACAACGATGTCGGATTCGTTCAGCAGTTAGTTGACGAGTTGAAGTCTACACTGTGTGTTGACCCCAAGCGCATTTTTGCCACGGGTTGCTCCAACGGCGGCATGTTCGTTCACGATTTGGCGAAGCATATGTCAGGGACGTTTGCGGCTGTGGCTGCCAATTGTGCTGGGAAGCCACACAAAGGTTTCGAGACATTGCCAGAAGGTCTTCCTATCTCAATGATGCTCGTCACAGGCAAGCAGGATCATACTATCCGCGGGCTCGGTATCTCCGTGGGCCAGGCCTGGTGGGACGGCTTTAAGTATGCGAGCAGAGCGGATGTTTTCGAAGCTTATCGTGTGCGCAACCGGTGCCCACGCGACATGGCAAAGAGAAGCTACATTTCGATGCGGGCAGTACGCAGGCCGAGCACGAGGATGAGGGGCGGCTTGGCTGGCGGCGGCACCGTCCTCACGCAGAACGGATCCGACGTGACGAGTGAGAATGCGGGTTACCATGAGCACTCGATGTCTTGCTACCAGCTCTACTACGGGTGCGCTGGCAATTCAAGCCTTGTGTCTTGTGAGTGGGATGGTGGGCACGACATCATGCAGGGCGAGCCGTCCGCTACGTATGGCTTCTTCGCCCAGCACCCGCGTAGTTGAGCCGACCATTGCGCGTGGCACTGTTGTTGTTGGGGTTGACGGCCAGACCTATGGGCCCCCCAACCGCCACCTCCGGCACAAGAAGCCGTAGGGTGGAAGCAATAGACAAAGACCGAGCGCCTACCGAGACCACAGGAAGGATGTGGCATGGCGGCCAACAAGAAAACAAGCCCACATGCAGACGAGGGACGAAGGGTGTACTCATCGGTGCACAGGGGCCAAGACCCTCACCCTCTGGCCCGTAATAATTCTAGCGGGTGTAGAAATCAAACAGCATGGACCCCCAAGAAGGGCGGCCGGCCTGAACGGCCATCATTTCGCCATGGAAGCCGTGGCAGCGTAGGCCGGCCCAGCCTCTGCACGCAGGCTTCGGCCTTGTGGGCACGATGACCAAACAGACCTGGAATAACATCCGTGGGCACAATCGCCCCCAAGGTCTCATGGATAAGACGCGTGTAGATAAACGCAGCTTAGAGCCCACTGAAGCCAAGGAAAACAAGCCCGATAAAAGAACGCCCCCGCCCAGGAGGGGGGAGTGAACCGTTGCGAGGCAGGCCTGGGGACCCCGTGCCACGGGGGGGGGCAGGAAAGATGAGGGAGGGAGGAGGAGGAGGAGGAGGAGGAGGAGGAGGAGGAGGAGGAGGAGGAGGGGCACGGGGGGAGCCCAGACCCCTGCCACGCTACGGCTAACACCCCCCAGGGAAAGGACTCCATGGAGAGGAGTGGGCTCCTAGAGTGTTGACCTGGATTATCCGGGCAACCCCTACGATACGCCATGGAGAGTGGCGGCCACGAAGGATCATGAAGCCAGGAAGCGAGATTAGTGCGGAGCCCAAGAAGAGGTCGCGCGGTGATCAGGCGCAACAACCTCCTGCCCCCGGAGCCCAAAGAGGGAGGAAGGATCCCAAAGGAATCCCAACGGCCTCCCCTGGAACTCCGGGGTGTTGCACGTTCTGGCCCCGCCAGGAAGGAGCCAGGAAAAAAACAGGAAGAAGGGCCCCCCTGAAGGGGGAATGGGTTTGCCACCCCATGTTGAGAGCATAAGAAAATCCATGATAGAGAAACCGAGCAGGCAGAGAGAGCCATTAGAACAAGTACGCTCCTAGGGTGTTGTCTGGGATCACGCGGAGGACTACGTGCGCGTGGCACCATTGCAGTTCCTCAGTAGTCAATGTGCGTAGGAGCGAGGGCTGTGTTCGACGCGCTTCATGTGGCCGCTGGCCGAAACATCTTTCGATCTCCACCTCGTTGGAGATGCCGCGGTCGACGTCTCGGGGGAGCGCGCCGCATTCGGCAAGATCTGGGGCCTCGGATGGGTCTGAAGCGATCGCGTGCCCCGCTTCTGTCCCCCGAACGGCACCAACGTCGAGCTTTTGATCCCGCGCGCATGTGCGTTCGCGACGACGCACAGCGTTCTCATCGTCACCACCGTCCCTCGGGGCAGAACAGGCACACACCCGAGACGTCGGGGGACTGGGTGCGGTCGGAGAACACAGGTGGGCGGGGGAGTTCGGGAGCGTCCATCTTATCTGCGAGTTCGTTGGTTAGGCGAACGCCCCCCGTAGGCGAAGCCTTCTCCGGGAGCATCAGGGGGCATGTTCTTCCTTCATGCCAAGTCACTACATTCACACAGTGGTGGCACAGCCCAGAAGAATCTAAGAAGCCAGCCCTATCGCCGCCGTCATCGTCCTTACTGTCGTCGTCGTCGTCGTCGTCGTCGTCGGCGGCCGTTCGCCAGCCTTGCCTGCTGCATCCTAGTTGGGGGCCTCCCAAGATGGTGCTGCTGTTGCGGTGCAATGGCCATGCTTCGAGGCACAGTTCTGTTTGCCGAGTCGACTTTTCGCCCTACTTGAAGATGCTGCGCCTACTTATGGCAACCACCACCTGGTGGTGCCTACCTGTTGGCAGAAGCGCTATAACTACGACGTCCCGTAACTACGCGGCAATGGCGATACTGAGGAGCGGGCCTCTGAGCGCGCAGCAGAGCACTCGCTCCTGGCCCACGCCTCCTCTCTCTGCGATCATAACCATCGGCCACCCGCGGCCCCCCCATCGGACAAGAAGCACGTAACATTACCGATATCTTGGAGTCGGCTGGGGGTCTGAGGTGGCTCAGCGCTGGTTCTGGCGAGCGAGGTTCTGGGCTCGGGAAGGTTTTTCGCCTTACTCAGCTTCCGGGACCCTCAAAAACAGGTCCAGGGTGAAAAAGTGCACCGGATGGACTCCGGGAGGGGTCTGGAGATCCACTTTGAGCGGCTTTGCCCTCATCCCCCCTTCCTGACCTGACTTTCTCGGGGCCCATCCAATCAGAGCCCCTGATCCCCGGGTCGCCTCCAACCGACACCCTGCCCTCGCTTTCGAGTGCAGCTCTGCCGTCGTCGCCACGGCTGGATGTGCTTCGGAATCCTGGCCGTAACCCGCTACGGGCGAGGCGCAGCAAGGCGCGCCGGCATCTCTTGCACCTCCAGTGGCCGTGGGCCGCCGGTGGCCCCTCCCCGGCCGCGGGGGGCGCCGTTCCCTTCCTCGGTCGGCGGCGAGCGGGGGGGGGGGGGAAGGGACAAGGAGAAGGCACTCTCAGAAGGCTCGGAAGTTCCAGGGCCTTCCGCGACATGTTCTGAGCTTGCCCCGAAGACGCACAAAAAACTTCTCAGAATCACCGAGCGCGTTCCACGAATTGCTCGCAAAAGTGCCTGCTCGCAAGCGCCAGAGAAAAACACACACGTCTGCTCCGACGTACTTCATCGTAGATCCCCCGCGTCGGATCCCGGCCGTTTGCGAGCAGTGACTCTGCAGGTAGTGGGACGCGCTTGCCTACAGAAGTCAGGAGGGGAAGAAACACACAGACACAATTAATCCTCGACTCCCAGGAAAATATAGGAAAATATGGGAAGTGGGGGGGAAGACAAAAACCCAGAAAATATGGGGGATAGTTTTATTTGTGTGTATTTATTTGTGTGTCCCAGAACCCCTTCATTCTCGCTTCCCCCCCTCCCCGTCGCTCGCCGCCGAGACTCGCTCCCGTGCGTCGGGGAAGGACCGCCGACCTCGGCGGTTCGGGGAAGGAGCCGGGGCCGTTCTCGCTTCGTCTCCCGAGGTTTTGGATCTCGAGAGTAGGAGCTCCTCCTCCCTCCCTCCCTCCCTCCCTCCCTCCCTCCCTCCCTCCGTCCCTCCTCCTCCTCCTCCTCCTCCTCCTCCTCCTCCTTTTCCTCCTCCACCCGCGGGAGCGGGCGGTGGAAAGAAAGGGTCGCCGGAGTTGGGAAGGCGCGGCTCTGGGACGGAAGCCGGAGATGGCACGGGGGCGCTACAAGGCGACGGAGCTGGAAGCGAAAACGGCACAGGAACCGGAACACAACCGGCAGAACGAAATCAGGCCCCCAGAGACCAGGACACAGACAAACCAGGACACGGAAAACCAAGGCAACGACATCCTTTCCTGCAAAGTCACGTTTTTCAGCACCCGTGCATGTTTTGTTTGTTGCACTGCAGGATTCGGGTTTGTGTCCGGGTTTAGGAGGGTCTTGCAGGCTTTTGTGGCCTGTGTCCGGGTTTATTCTGGAAATGATGCAGTGCAGTATCTTGGTCGTGCCGCCGTTTGGAAAAATTGATTTCGAGGGATGTTGGGTGTCCGTGTCTAGCGTGTCCGGGTCTACGTGGCCTTGACGAAAAAGATACGTGATCGTTCGTTTTCTTATTCATTGTTTTGCTCATCGGCGCGGGCCTTCGCCCCCCCCCCCCCCCTCCCCTCTCCGCCCCCCCCCCCTCCATGGAGTAGATCTTGGTTGGTTTTGGCGCCCGTTTCGAGCAGGTGGAGTCTCCCCCATAGGGCGCACTGCTGCAAACAGTCGCGTTAAGCAGAGGTCTGGAGCCAGACCCCAACGCCGAATAAAAAGATATTCACAAACAACAAAACGGAAACCATATCATCTCGGGCTTCAGGATCTCCAGGGGTGGTCCAGCTCCAGAAATATCACACACACACACACGCACACTCGGCCACGCGCAGAGGGGGTAGGGGATGGGGGAAGGCTTCTTAGAAGCACTCCTGCTTCTTAGAAGGCGCGGGCCTTCTCTATACATGTAAGGCCGGCGTTTTCTAAGAAGCAGCCCCCTTCTGAGAAGCCTTCCCCCCTCCCCCTCACCCCCTCTGCGCGCCGCCAAAACACACACATGGGTTGATTATCTCGGTGTCGGTGTGTTTTCTTACACATGGGGTCGGATCAAAATATAGCTTTCCTCACACGTTCCGAAGCTTAACGGACAACCCGGGCTTCTATTAGGGGAGTGGCGGCGTTGCTCCTTCCGAGAGGTTCCCTGTGTCGAGACATTGCCTGCACGGACAATTGCAGCGGCGCTCTCCCTTCATTATTCTCGTTGTGCCCCCTCCTCCTGATCTTCGTCCTCCTTTTCTCTTTCTCGTAGACTCTCCTGTTGCCCGTGGTTGCCCATGCTCGCTACGTCTGGCCTGGACCGTAGTTATGGCCAATCCCATGCGCGGGATGGCGAAGTGAGGACGAGGATGGGGATGGGGATGATGAGGAGGGTGAGAACTCTGTCGCCGTTTGTGCTCGCGAAGTGCAATCCATATTCTCTTCCCCGGTCCCGGGACACTTACTTACACCCCACAACTTATTCACACTTCTCTTACTTACAGCCACTTGGGTGGCTATACGTATCCAATTGCGCTGCCGCGCATGCCCGCTGCCGTTCTGAAGGAAGGAAGTACAGTAGCACGCATGTAGTGTTGCATGTGGTAGTGTTTGGCGCACGTATGACAATAATCGCAAGTCCTTGCATTAGGCTGCGTGTGGCTGGTTCGGAGGTTATGTTTATTTGTTGTAATGTTATTCCTACTCTTGCCATATTTGGTTTGACCATCTGTGTGCAGATGATGGGTCTCTGGGTCTCTGCTTAACAGCTCTGCATCAAACCGTAGCCGCTCTTGAGAATAATGTGACTGTTGTACCGAGTGATGGCCCTCTCAAGGACATCTTGGGGGTTCTTTTCCGGTGTGGACTCTTGGGGCGCCCTTGGGGCCCTCTCGGGCCCTTCTTAGGGCATTTGGGGGGTCCTCTCTGGCCAACTCGAGTGTTACAAAGGCGCACCAGAATCCGAAGCGATAATGTTCGCCTTTCAGGGGCGTGAATTGGTGCTCGATATCCACCCTAGAGCCATCTTGGACTTTAGTGAGAACCTTGTGGAGCCATGTACGACGCCATGTATGGCCGCCTTCGCGGATACACGCAGGGCCAAGGCGGAAATTCCAGCCAACCGCGCCTTGGTTGCCCAGATCCCCCAAGAGGGGCACCCTCAGTGTACAGGGGTGCTGACCACTCCGAGCACCAGAAATCTTGCCACCAGAGCGCCCGTGGTTCCGTCTTAGATCTGGCGAACGCAAGGCGCAGCAGAGGCCATAAGAATGCCCCCCCAAATGTTTCCGAGGGGTGTCCCTGGATCCTCTTCCGAGCGGGCACCGTCACCGAACAGAGAAACGTCCCTGCTTGCATGATGCTGTCCTTTGGGCTTCTTCTGCCTTCGGACCAACTCTTGAGCCCTGATTGAAGGCAGCACCGAGTGTGCCCGACAGTCCAGGCCTCCAGGATTGGGCTCCGAGCAGATGGGGCCACGGGATCGCGCCGCATCGCCGACGCACGTCGGCGATGCGGCTCGATGTGGAGCCCGTGCCTCCCCACGCCGGCGTCGCCGATGCATCGCCGACGTCGCCGAGGCATGGCGCTGCGGCGCGAGCCTCCGACCGGACCCCGTCCGGGAGGCCTCCGGCAAGGGGGGCCCCCGGAGAGCTCCACAAGCGGGCCCCCCCACGGAGCCGCCCCGTGGCTCTCGACGTCCCGCGGGGCTGCCGCGGCCGCGCGGAAGCCCCTCCCGCTCTTCGCGGCCCTGCGGCCGCCTCGTCCGCGCACGGCCCCGGGGGGGGAGGAGGAGGAGGAGGAGGAGGAGGAGGAGGAGGAGGAGGAGGAGGAGGAGGAGGAGGAGGAGGACGAGGACGAGGACGAGGACGAGGACGAGGACGAGGACGAGGAGGACGAGAGAAGGCGGAAGAGGAGGCGGGCAGTTTTCCTCTACCAGGGAAATCTGCAGGAATGGTTTAGAGACAGTCTGGGGACGATGTGTCGTGTTCTTCTGGCTATGTTGGACGATGTTTTTCACGATCTCTGGTGCTTCTTTTCCACGTCCGCCTGCAGGAGGACGCGCCCGACCCAAGGCCAGCCCTTTCCAGATCGAGGCAGGGACAGGGGGCTCGGTAGCAAATCATGGGAGCCGTGCGTGCCGTCGCAAGTCCGTCTTCGGCGTGCATCGGCGTCGGTTCGCGTCGAGGGATCGATGATACGGACCCGATGTGATCGCCGATCAGCGTCGGCCAGGATGGGTTGGCGTGGACTTAGCGTCGACTGGCGTCGATTAGCGTCGACCACAGTCGATTCGCAAGGCCGGGGCAGGAATCAGGAGAGGAAAAGATACAGACGCAACTAATCGCCGATTTCTGAGAACAGGTGGGAACATATGGGAAGTCGGGGAGAATGTGAAAAATCTAGAAAATATGAATACATATGGGGAATCCAGGGTTTTGTGTTGATCTATTTGGGTGCCCCTGGGCCCCTTCAAGGAGGTGGGGCTCGACTCCCTGCCTCCTCCGCTGCGGGAGCGCGGCGGCGGATCAGCGCTCGTCAGGCGAGGAGCAGCTCGGACGTCATGGCCACCTTGCCGATCTTCCAGGCTGCGGACACTATCTACAGACATATCTCACGTTGCATCCTTGGGGGACCTCGCCTGTCCCCAAAATTCAGCGTCGTTTATCCGATCCCCATCCCCATGCCCATCCCCTTCGAGACCCCCACCAAATTACCACCCCAGTTGGGGATACACCCCTCGAAACCCGAAGGGAACGGCCTATATCCCCAGCTAGGGGGGTAAATCGGCCAGTGGGGCCCAGGCCACGCCCCGGGGGATGGGGGTCGGATAAACGATTCTCACAACTCAGGGCTCATGTCGATCCATGCCGCCGATTCGATTCGACTCGATTTCGATGGGTTCCGATCCCGATTCGATTCGATTTCAGATTCCGCTTCGCGATCCGATTTCTGTTTGGAGGCCTACTAGCCTGCCGATGTCTGCCGATTCGACGTTTCTCGACTCGGCTGCCGACGCCCGTCGATCCGATCCATGTCGATCGCCGATCCGACTTGTCGATTCGATTTCAGGTTCTCCTGCAAAAAATGGTGTCTTTTCTCGTCCCCGACGCGGGCTCGATGCGGATTCGACGCGGGTTTGGCGTGGATTCGACGCTGATTCGACACGGAGTCGGCACGGGTCCGACGAGTCCAACATGGAGTCGGCACGGACTCGACACGGGTAGGGCCGCGACGGGAGAGCCAAGGTCCCCCGAGGATGCAACATCACGTATCCACTGCGACTTCGATTCTCTGGGAAAAGGGCGCCATATGGCCGAGGCGCAGCGGACATGGACAGCCATGCAGCCTCTACCCTACATCCAGGCCAGATGTTGATCCATCTCCAATGCGCCTCTGGCTTCTGGGGAAGGGAAGCCGGAACTCCTGGACGCAGTGGATCTTGAAGCAACTCTCGCCCTAAGACAGATGGAAGACCATTGCACGAGCACAACTTTTCGACGGTCCGCGCGGATGTCCTGGGTCTGCGGCGTTGGAGCTCTCTGGCGGCGCCTCCAGCGCCGCCCCTGAGGCGCTCCGCGCGCCAGGGAGGGGGTTCCAGCGCAGATCCACAAAGTCCGCGCGGGCCAACGGACGTCTATGCTGAAGTCGGCCGTGTCCCTCTACAGGAGGAATATTCAGAGATGGTCCAAAACAGTATGGGGGCGAGTTTGGATGTGTGTTGGATTACTTTTGGGGTATGTTCTGAGTCTGTTTGTTATTACAATTTTGCCGACCCGAGCTCGCCTGTCGGGGGACAGGCCTGACCTGAGCCTATGTTCGCTCAGTTTTTCCTTTGCTGCTTTCTCCTCCTCCTCCTCCTCCTCCTCCTCCTCCTCCTCCTCCTCCAAGGCGGGCAGGCTGCAGGTCACCGTGAGGAACACCTTCGTCGACGTGGCGGGCCCGCGCAGCCCCTGCGCCGCGCGGAGCTCCTCGACGCCGCCCTCGCTCCACCCGGGCCCCGCCGAGCGCGGCGCCGCCGAGGCCGGGCTCCCCGCCGCCGGCGGCGACGGGGCGGCGACGGAGCACTCGGAGGCCCTCGGCTGCGGGGAGCTCGAGGCCGCGCGTCCCAGACCCCCTCGAGTTCTGAAAAAATCACGACGGGAGGTTTTTCAGTATTTGGGGCCTTTGGGGGCCCTTACCGGCCCTCGGGACCGGCAAAGAACGACGCAGGGCGAAGAACCGGTCCCGGGGAAAGGGTCCAGACCGCTGGGGGTCGACGTCATGAAAACTTCATGACGTCGGGGGGCCGCGCGTCGGGGAGCAACCCCTTCGGCTGCTCGGTCCGGGGTTCATCGGCTCCAGGCCGCCCCCGGCTCGCCTCCGGCTCGTCTCCGGTGCGGCTCGGGGTCGGCTCGGGCTCGGCGCGGGCTCGACGCGGGTGCGGCTCGGGTTCGGCTCGAGGCGGCGGGCGCTCGGCGCAGTCGTTCGACGCACGAGTGGAGCGAGCGGAGCGGCTCCACGGGGGCAGTTTCCATCGTGAGCGCCTCAACGAATGGCATCAGCACAGGCTTTCGGAGGTCCGCTCGGACTCCTCGGAGTGGCGCTGGGGCCCCCCTGGCGGCGCCTCCGCGGGCCTGAAGCGCCGATCCGAGAGAAATCCGCGCGCGGACCTCCCAAGTTTAGCTTTACGCCGTGTCTCGTGCGCCAAGCAAGGGACGAGCACGTCCACATTTGTGCCCTGTGATCGGCGCGTGCCCTCGCCCCCCCCCCCCACACACATGGAGTAGATCGTGGCTGTTTGGAGCGCATGTCTCGAGCAGGTGGGGCCTCCCCGCCCGCTAGGACGCACTGCTGCAAGCAGCCGCATTCAGCAGAGGTCCAGAGCCAGGGCCCCCCCCCTTTCCGCCCTGTGTCGAAACGCCGAGTAAGAAAACGTTGACCTTCGTGGCCTGGACACCCGGGGCGCGGTCCCATGGTACCCTGCTTGCCTCCAGGGTGCCTTGGGCGTGTTTGGTTTCGATGGTGTTGCCATGGAAAGCGTGACGTTCACACACGAAACGTCGATTGACGTTCTGGGGTCTCAGGGTTGGGCTTCTTGTGGAAGGTTTCTTGTGGACTGGCCTCCGCTGTAACTCAGGTGATGATGAGTGCGGGGCGTGTTTCCCGCTGTGGCGAGATGATGTCGGGTGGAGAACGCTGGGAAGGGAGGGGGTGGGAGGTGGCGGGGGCGGGATGAAATGGGTAAGGAGAATGGGAGGAAGAGAGGAGAAGAGGGAAGGAGTCGACGTGGAGGGGCGAAGGGGGTCAGAGGGAACCGGCTGTTGGAGGAGCAGGAGTCTCAGGGCTGGGTTTCTTGTGGAAGGTTTCTTGTGGTCGGGCCCCCACTGTGTGCATGTGGCTTGGGGCGTCCGCGCCAGGCCGCCCCAGCAAGCCGTGGGGCCGCGGCCCGGGTGTCCAGACCGCCGGGCCGTAGGTTTAAGACGGACACGTCCCTCTACATGAGGAGTGTCCAAACATAGTCAAACATAGCCAGGGGAAGATGCTTTGAAAAAATAGGTTTGACTATTCTTGTGTGTTGCTGTCAACGTGTACGTTTTCTCCCAAAATGCACCTGTGGGGGGACATGCCGGACCTGACCGCAGATGTGCACAGATGCCCCCCCCCCGCCCACGAGGAGGACCCGTCCATTCCGGACACGGACGACGAGTGGGAGGTTGCCAGCTCTCACGCGCCCCACCCCAGGCTCGGGTGGATCGAGAGAAGGGGCGGGTGAGGACGAGGAGGGCCACGACGGCTGCTGCATCTGGCCGGTGCCGGCCCCGCCGCTGGGCTACCTTCCTCGATGCCCTGGCGCCCCCAGCGGGAAGACCAGCTGCCGCAGGCTCGTGCCGTGCCGAGGCGGCGGCGACCCCGCCGCGGTCGTTCCCGGTGGAACGCCGCGGGTGGCCAAGACGTGGCCAAGCTGGAACGATCGCAGGGTCGCCAGTTGTCAAGGCGGAGCGAACCACGTGGTTGCAGAAGCCTGCGCCCGCGGTCGTCACGGCGCGGGTCCGCCCTACGTTCTTTGGACGGCCACCGCACGAGTGCATCCAGGCGCTGCGCAGGGAGAGTGGGCACGGACTCGCAAAGAGAGAGAGAGAGAGATTGGGGCGAATTGCGCACCCTCAGTTTGGACGGCCGGGGGAGAGCAGAGGCAACGGGCCCTTGCACTCTGGTCTTCTTGAGGATGCTGGGCCTCGTTTGTCTCGCACGCTCGTCGACGGCGAGGCTTGCGTGGCCGGCCGCCCGTGCCGCCTTCTTCGAGGCAGCGCCTGGCTCCTCAGGCCGGGACCTGCTGGGCGTGAGTTGGTATGCTGACCTCCCCATCTGCGATTCCCCCCTCCCTCGCCCCTCTTTCTCCTCCTCCCTCCTGCTCCTGCTCCTCCTCCTCCTCCTCCTCCTCCTCCTCCTCCTCCTCCTCCTCCTCCTCCCTCCGTTCTGTTCCTTCTCCGCCTCCTCTCCCTCCGCCTCCTCCTCCCTCCGCCCCCTCCTCCCTCCGCCTCCTACTCCCTCCCGCCTCCTCTCCCCCTCCTCTCCTCCGCTCCTCCTCCTCTCTCTCCTCCCTCCCTCCCTTCCTCCTCCTCCTCATCCTCCTCCTCCTCCTCCTTATCCTCCTCCTCCTCCTCCTCCTCCTCCTCCTCCACCTCGTTATCCTCCTCTTCCTTCTCCTCCTCCTCGTCATCATAATCATCAGCAACATCATCTTCACCACCACCAGCATCGTCATCACCATCATCACCATCAGCATCATCATCACCACCATCATCATCACCATCACCATCAGCACCAGCAGTATCATCAGCTCCATCATTATCATCATCACCATCAGCAGCAACATCTGCATCATCAGCATCATCACCATCGTCGCCGTCATAATCCGCATCACCACTATCATCATTCTCAAACTCAGCACCACCATTATCATCAGCATCATCATCATCATCATAATCATCATCATCGCCATCATCATCATCATCATCATCATCATCATCATCATCATCATCATCATCATCATCATCAGTATCATCATGACCATTAATATCATCATCATCATCATCATCAGCATCATCATCATCATCATCATCATCATCATCATCATCTTCATCTTCATCTTCATCTTCATCTTCATCTTCATCATCATCATCAGCATCAGCATCATCATCATCATCACCAGCCGTCGCCATTTTGGCTCAAGGCCATGCATTCCCAGCGGGTGCAAGTCCCTCCTGGGCGCTGCGAGCACTCTGGTGGAGTGCTGGCAGAGCCACAGTCATTCAATTTCCTATCGTGCTGCCGTGAGCATCTCAGTCCTTCGAGTCCCCACTCATCGTCATGGGAGGCAATGGCCGACGCGGTGGTCAAGAAGGATGTGCGCGGTGCTCCAAGTGCCAATACAACTGGACATGGAAGACCCGCCCGTGCTGCCTCAGCTGTGGCCATCGCATGGCCCCGTCGCCCTCACCTGCGAGAGAGCCCCTGGGAGCCTGGGCCAACCCCGCAGTGCGAGCAGCACTTCCTCGACGCGGCGGGTTGCAGGACGTATAGCTAAACATGAGGTGTGCAAGCGCTGTTGTACATTGTGCAAGTACTGATGCGTATACCATATTTGAACGCAACCAACTTATAAGCACACAAAAACAGATCTCGAATGCACTACTTATAACCATTCGATAAGTAGGTTGCGAGAGATACAACATAAGTGCGCAATCGAGCTATAACATATCTACTAAATGCGACGTTCACTTATAACTGACTTACGCGGACTTATGCGTACTTATGGTGAGGGGTTGGGTTTTGACTTCAAGTTTTTTTTGATGCCAAGCGGCGAGCGGCAGACCTACTTCCGATTTGCCCGAGAGGCGCGGAACCACTCACATGCGCCGATACTGAAAAACAACATAATTTAGGATATCGGGCCAAGTGCCCAAGTACAACCGCCGTGTGCTGTTCCGTGGTTTTTGCGTCACGTCGACAAGCGGTGCAAGCATGCACGAGGGTTTCGCGGTCGCTCTCGCACTCGCGCCCCCGAGGTTGTTGGAATTTCTGCCCTGGGCGATTGCCAACTGCGCTACTGTCGACATGTTCGTGTGCCCTACAAGGGGGGGGGGGGTAAGTATGAAAATGAATCCAGATAGCCATAACGAGCGAGTCAGGGGGCGTGAGTATGAGTATGACCGTCTGAAATGGGGCCATCTTGGGGTTCGCTCGGGCCCGCCTGGGGGCCTTCTTGGGGGCCCTCTTGGGGTCATCTTGCGCGGGGCCCTCCTGGGGCTCCCCTGGGCCCCGAACGTGGCATCCAGAGGGCCCTCTTGGATGCCGCTGTCGGCCCCCTCGGCTTGCGTGTCATGTAAGAGAGTCCAGGCCGCAGCACGTCGAGAGAGCGGGTTCGGGAGATTGCGTTGCTTCCACGTTGGGGCTTTGTGGAGTGGGCCCCGGGGAGCTGTGTCCGACAAGCTCGCCGTCGGCTCGATTTGCGTTGCGTTGCCGACAGGCTCGCCGTCGGCTTGAATTGTTACCGCCCGCCGCAGTTTAGGCTCGAGGATGTCGGCTGTTCCCGAGGACCCGCCCTCAGCCAAACTCGGGCCCGTGGAGATTCAGGGCACAGTGACGGCCGAAGCTGTAGAGCGCCTCGTGGAGGCCACGGGCTGCAGGGTGTCGACGCGGGGCCGCCCCAGAACTGACGAGGGCACTCGTTGCTTGACCGTGGTTGGCCCGGCCAGCAAGGTGGAGGAGGCGTACACCGTAGGCGATGTTTAAGAAAACCTAAGTTTTCGTCCAAAGTCTCGATTATTCTTAACTTTTCAATGTAAATCCCAAGATGTGTTGATAGAAGTTCTGGGTTTTATTCAATTTCTGAGACCATGAATGTCTTAACCCATGATTTCTTAAGCATTTCGCAGGGTGTACAGGACGGCGCGCATGCGCATCGTCTTTCACGGCTCCAGCGGCGGGCGCGGGAGGCAGCCTGGGCCAGCGCCCGCCTCGCCCGCCGCCCGTCGGGCCCCTGCGCCGCCCCGCGGAGGTCGGAGCTCAAGCCCGCGGGTTCAGTGGCCTGCTGACGGAGATGCGGGCGCACAACCGCTCCATGTTGATCTAACTGCTGACGGGGATTCGAGCGCACGACCGCTAAGAGTTGAACGGCCTGCTGAAGGGTATATGAGCTCAGAACCCTTCAAAGCTGATATTCCTTATGGCTGCTTGGCCACTTCGAAGTTTGCTCCTGGCACCTGGTGCCCCAATGACAACGCGGGTGCCTCTTCGAGTGGCGCGCCGCCCGGCCAGGGCAACATGAGCGAGCAGGGCGTGCTGAATGCCGAAAGTATCTACAGTCGCGTGTGCATCATCAATCCGTACAAGGACGAGGCCACGCGCGCGGAGTAAGTCTTGTCAAGGCGTCTGGTTCCACATGTTCCGCAGCCGCAGGATGAACAAACGTCAGGAGAAGGTTACAACCACGTTTGGTTCCAGGAGGTTTCTGCGCCGCTTCAGGTACCTACGAGAAACCTCGACGCATGGGTCGGCTGGTTCTTGCGTGGTCACCCTGTGAGCTCCTCCGCTTCGGCTGGCCGCGGGCCGGCGTTCGCAGTTCGGCATATCTCCGTGCTGCTCGTGCGCTGCGGGCGCTGTTTACTTAGACATGCGGCTTGCTGGGGGCGCCGCCGTACACGCGCATGTGAGTACAAGTCAAAGCGCTGCAAGACAGCATTGAGGGGGTGAGGCATAACACTATATAGCAATACAAGGTAGAGTGGCGGCGCCTGGGGCGCGAAGATAGCTGTGCGCGCGCAATGGGCCCCTGAGCCCGCGCGAGGCCCTCTGGAGCCCCGCGGAGGGGCAAGTCCTCGGGCGGGGGGGCACCGCGGGGGCGCGAAGATACGTCCTTATCTGCCCCCTCCGAAGATGCCCCGAGAGGCCCCACGACCGCCCCAAGACGGTTCCAAGAGGCAAAATAACTCGCCAAGGAGGCCTCCCAAAAGCCAAACCCTTCAAAAACCTTAGCAACACAATGATGGTTGCCTTGTCGTCTTTTCGCTTCCGATGGCCATCCGAGGCCTCAAGATGTCTCCAAGATGCCCCAAGAGGGCCCCAAGAGGGTCCCAAGAGAGCCCCACGATGGCCCCAAGATCGCCCAAGAGCGCCCCAAGAGGGGTCCATGAGGCGATTTTACGAGCTCCCGAGGGGGGACCCTACTTGGGGAACCCCCCTTCGTTGATCGATCTCCTCCAAGATTGCCCCAAGAGCGCCCCTAAAGCTCCCAGAAGGGCCTCAAGATGCGCCCAGACTGCCCCAAGAGACCTCCAAGAAGCTCCCAAGAAACCCCCAAGAGGCCTCAAGAGGATCCCTGAGGCACCCAAGAAGCCCCTGGCCCATGACAGCGAGCTGCTGGCGAGCATGAATTACAATATTTTCTGCCCGAAACGTGATGTTCAAAACTTGGCAGATTCCAGCATAGATTGAGCATTGCATCTTTGTACGTTCGCATTGTAGTTTCCCATATTTTCGTGCTTATGGAGCTGCATCAACGCACGTCGCTGTCATGAGTTCGTAGGCCGACATTGCCATGTTTCCAATCCCCTGATCCCTCGACCTCCTTCTCCTCCTTCTTCTATCTGCCTTATCGTCCTCCTCCTCCTCCTCCCCCTCCTCCTCCTCCTCCTCCTCCTCCTCCTCCTCCTCCTCCTCCTCCTCCTCCTCCTCCTCCTCCTCCTCCTCCTCCTCCTCCTCCTCCTCCTCCTAGTCCCCATCTTTGCTCCCTCACTGCCCTGAACATTTCAACTCGCCTGGGCGTCGTTTCTGGATGAGCTGGTGGGGATACTTTTTTGGGTCAGCAGGCTCGCGAAGCGGGTCGAAACCCGTCCGGACACTAGTCGGGCCGCGACTAAGAATTGATGGGGCCTTTTTGTCCGCAGCCACGGGCGAGAGCGCCGACGGCGAATAAGGTCCAAGCGGGCCGCGCGAGAGCCCAATGTCCTAGCGCGGAGCAGAGCAGGACCTACCGACGGGGAAAGCCTCAGCGCCGGGGCTGCGGGGCAGTGCCGGGGGAGAGGACTGCAAGCTGCTGGGCCAGGGAGCTGCAAGCGTGCACCAAATTAGCCAACCAGGGTTGGGGCGCAGCCAAATGGGGCGAGGGACGTACCAGGGTGTGACCAGGGAGGCAGCCAGCCAGTACACATCGAGACTGCCAAAAGCCCAAAGTGGTCCAAACTGGTGCATCGGGTGGCGCCACCAAAGTCGCACACCAATTCCTCAGAGGGGAGTACTGATCCAGCGAACGTCTGTCCGCGGAAGGCCCCAGGGACGAACGAAGTAGCCAGGGGAACGATGGATGAACTCGACACCGTAAACCGGTGGGGGTACTTTTTTGATCTGCGGCTCCAAGGACGGCTCCAGGGAGCGGGTCAATCTCGACAGGGGCGCAATGCGAGACGAGTGGCAACGAAGGCACATAGGCCAACGCCGCAGTGCACGTGCGAGTGACAAAATTCACCTCATTAGAGCCGACCCGGGGAGGGAAGGCAGCAGACTGGAAAGCAGCAGACTGGTGGGGGTACTTTTTTTGATTCGCGGCCCGCAAGGAAAAGTCCAGAGGGCGGTGTGACTGGTGGGGGTACGCGAAGCGTCAACAATTCTTGGCCCTCCTCCTCCTCCTCCTCCTCCTCCTCCTCCTCCTCCTCCTCATGATCATCACCCTCATCCTTGTTACTCATGTGAATCGGTGCCGTCCGCAGCCCGCGTTAGCCAGAGTGTTTGTTGTGTTGGCCGTCGTCATCACCATCATCATGCTCAGCATCAGCACCATCATCATCATCATCATCATCATCATCATCATCATCATCATCATCATCATCATCATCAGCACCATCATCATCATCACCATCATCGTCGTCATCATCATCCTCAGGATCAGCACCATCATCATAATCATCATCATCATCAGCACCACCATCATTATCAGCACTAATATCACCATCATCACCATCATCGTCGTCATCCTCGTCCTCCTCAGCATCAGCACCATCATCATCACCATCATCATCATCATCATCATCACCATCATCATTATCATCATCACTAGCACCATCATCCGCACCATCATCATCGTTATCAGCACCATCATCCAGACCATCATCCTCATCATCGTCGTCATCGTCATCAGCATCAACAGCATCGTCACCATCATCAGCACCATCATCATCATCATCATCACCATCATCATCATCATCATCATCATCATCATCATCATCATCATCATGATCATCATCATCATCATCATCATCATCATCATCATCATCATGATCATCATCATCAGCAGCACCATCATCAGCATCCTCCTCCTCCACCTCGTCATCATCATCATCATCACCCCATGCTTCCTACTGCCCCGGACCTCTGGCAGGCGCCTCGCAGATGTGGGCGGGGGCCTCCGTCTGGCGCCCTGCGCCGGGCCGGCCTGCTCCTCCCCGCTCGGCGCCGGCGGCGTGGTCCTGTGCTGCTCCCCGGCCGCCGGGGGCTCCAAGGACGCATCGGCCACGCGCAGATCGTCAGAGCCCCGAATCATCAGGGGTAACTCGGGTCAGGGATAACTCGGGTTCGTTTTTCGGGAATCCAAGCCCGAGTTACCCCGGACCCGAGTTACCCCGGATAATTCGGGCGTCCAGAGCCCCGAATCATCAGGGATAACTCGGGTCAGGGCTAACTCGGGTTCCTTTTCCGGGAATCCAAACCCGAGTTACCCCGGACCCGAGTTACCCCGGATAATTCGGGCGCCCAAGATCGAGCAGTGGCGTAGCGTCCTGGCTCCCCTATAGGCCCACCAAAAAATGTTCTGAACCCTCTCGTGATTTCTAGGAAATGTTCTTGGAGCAGTTCTGGCTGAGGCCGTCTTGTTTTAGCGCATCGGGTGTATGTTCTGAGAACATGGTTTCTGTTCTTATTACGTTTCTCGGTTCTAAGATAATGTCGTGGGAGAACTATAGGAATGCCAGGACGGTCGGTCCCTGCTCAAGTACAGTCGACCCGCATGGCCAGGATGCGTCCTCGGCCCATCCTTGGCCACTTTCGTTGGCCGCGCCCCGCTCGAAAAGCCTCGAAATGGCCTTCCAAGGCCCTTGCATCCTCGTCGCGCATCCTTATAATACGGGCCGACTGTAGAGAGTGTTTTTGTTTACACTCTGGGCCATAACGCGCGTTATGTCCCCCCTCCCTCCCCCCCATAGTGGAACGGCTCCCCCCTTCGGTGCGTCCCTGGCACGGCCGCAGTGCGTCCAGCACCACATACCGTAACGCCCCCCCCCCCCCCCCCCCCCCGGTACGTCCCCGGCACTGCCGCAGTGCGTCCGGCACCACAGTCTGGGGGGTGGGGGGGGGGCGCTGCGTGAACTATGACCCCTCCTCCCGTCCCCCCCCCCGCCCATAACGCCCGTTATGACCGCAGAAAAGATGTATGCGCTCGCAGGCTGGACCTCAACAGTGTTTAGGCGATTCCGTGGGCCGTGATCGGTTCGATTCCGTTTTGCGGTAGAGGCGGATCGAAGACAACACGAGGGAGAACGAGAACATAACGCAAACGAAAAAACACCGTTTAGGTCCAGCCCTGGGGAAAGGGGGCAGGGCTTCTTTCTCGCCGAGTGCGTTCTACTACCCGCAAAATGCCTACTCGCAAACGCCAGAAAATTATCCAGGCAAAGCAACCTAACAGCGATGTGTATAAGCATATCTGGAAGCATTCCCCTTAAGACTCAGGTGAGAATCCAGTTGTAGAATTCTGCTGTTCTCGCAGTCGCAGCCCCAGCCTGCCTCGGCTTGCCTCGGCCTCAGCCTCAGCCTGCCTCGGCCTCAGCCTCAGCCTCAGCCTGCCTCAGCCTCAGCCTCAGCCTGCCTCAGCCTCAGCCTGCATCAGCCTCAGCCTTAGCCTGCCTCAGCCGCAGCTTGCTTCAGCCTCAGCCACAGCTTCAGCCTCAGACTCAGCCTGCCTCAGCCAGCCTCAGCCTCAGCCTGCCAGCCTCAGCCTGCCTCAGCCTCGCCTCAGCCTCAGCCTCAGCCTGCCTCAGCCTCAGCCTGCAGCCTCAGCCTCAGCCTCAGCCTGCCTCAGCCTCAGCCTCAGCCTCAGCCTCAGCCTGCCTCAGCCTCAGCCTGCCTTCAGCCTCAGCCTCAGCCTGCCTCAGTCTCAGCGTCAGCCTCTCAGCCTCAGCCTGCATCAGCCTCAGCCTCAGCCTGCCTCAGCCTCAGCCTCAGCCTCAGCCGCAGCTTGCCTCAGCCTTAGCCTGCCTCAGCCTCAGCCTCAGCCTGCCTCAGCTTCAGCCTCAGCCTCAGCCTGCATTGGCTTGCCTCAGCCTCAGCCTCAGCCTCAGCCTGCCTCGGCCTCAGCCTCAGCCTCAGCCTGCCTCAGCTTCAGCCTCAGCCTCAGCCTCAGCATGCCTCAGCCTCAGCTCAGCCTGCCTCAGCCTCAGCCTGCATCAGCCTCAGCCTCAGCCTGCCTCAGCCGCAGCTGGCCTCAGCCTCAGCCACAGCCTCAGCCTCAGCCTCAGCCTGCCTCAGCTTCAGCCTCAGCCTCAGCCTGCATCGGCTTGCCTCAGCCTCAGCCTCAGCCTCAGCCGGCCTCGGCCTCCGCCTCAGCCTCAGCCTGCCTCAGCCTCAGCCTCAGCCTGCCTCAGCCTCAGCCTGCATCAGCCTCAGCCTCAGCCTGCCTCAGCCGCAGCTGGCCTCAGCCTCAGCCAAAGCCTCAGCCTCAGCCTCAGCCTGCCTCAGCTTCAGCCTCAGCTTCAGCCTGCATCGGCTTGCCTCAGCCTCAGCCTCAGCCTGCCTCGGCCTCCGCCTCAGCCTCAGTCAGCCTCAGCCTCAGCGTCAGCCTCTCAGCCTCAGCCTGCATTAGGCGGGGCGAACAGGGCCATCCAGAAGGTGGGCCGTCGAAAGGGTGCATGGAACGGCTTTCGGGGAGGCGTTCCAAGATTTCTGGAACGCCTTTCCGCCCAGCGTTCGGAGCAGTTCGGTCGCCTCGGCCCACGGCCCGCTACCGCGTCGACATGGAGACACCTCGAAGCGGGATCAGGCCGCACGAGTGAAGCCAAATTGTCTGCGAGGGGCAGCCTTGGAATTGCTGTTCTGCCACCCTCTCTCCTTCTCGTCCTAGGTGTGCCCGTCGACCGCCGCGCCCTTTCTGTGGCGCCGAAGTGGCCACTTCGCCTGGTCTGCCCCGTGCACGCTCCCGTGCTGGCCCTCCCCCTGCCTCCGCCCACCGCGCAGCCCCTTGCCCCCTCCGCCGCCACCTCCCCTTTTCTCCCTTCACTCCCCTTTTCGCCCCGCGTCGTCGTCGTCGTCGTCGTCGTCGTCGTCGTCGCCCCGCGTCCCACACCAGTGTCGTTCAGCGCCTCACTGATGCTAGCCCGCTACTTACATCTGCCAACCGCGCCCATTTTCTCTCGCACTCTGCCTCCCTCATCCCTCCCCCCCCCCTCCCCCTCCCTTCCCCCAGCTCCCCTGTCCTATTTCGCCTTCCCCCGTCCCCTTCCCCTTCCCTCCCTCCATTTGCCCCTTTCTTCCAACCTCGTGCTCTCCCGCTCCCACCCCTCCCCATTCCCTCCGCCGCCAGCCCTTCCCGAACGCTGTTCCGGGAAGGCGCGCAGCCCTTCCCGAACGCTGTTCCGCGGAGGCCGAATGCAGGCCCCAAGTGGGCCATCCGTCCGGCTGATGCTCCGAGGCCCCAAGTGGGCCATCCACCCGGCTCCTGGAGGCCGCCCCCCCCGAGGCCCCAAGTGGGCCATCCATCCGGCTCATGCACGCCCCCGACCCTCGCACGCCCTGCGCGCAACCCCCTCGCCGCCCCCAGGCCCCAAGTGGGCCATCCACCCGGCTCATGGAACATCACACCGGGGCACCCAGTACCCCTGCACTGGTCCAGGGCCCCAAGTGGGCCATCCGTCCGGCTGATGCTCCGAGGCCCCAAGTGGGCCATCCACCCGGCTCATGGAACCCCTTCCCAGAGCTCCCTCGGAAAGGCGTTCCGCGCCTCGGGGGAAGGGTACTCGCGCGCCTGGCCGCCTTGGCTCCCGCGACCCAGGGCGCCCTTGCACCGATCCCAAACCACCCCGCCTCTCCCTCCCCTTCTCCTGCTCCCATGCCTCCCTCCATCCCTCCCTCCCGCCAGCATTCCTGCCCTCTCGCCCCGCACCTCGTCGTCCCTTTTCTCCCTTTTCGCCCCGCGTCGTCGTCGTCCTCCTCCTCCTCCTCCTCCTCCTCCTCACATGTCCTCATCCTTCCGCCCCCCCTCCTTCCTCCTCCATCATCCTCCGCAATCCTGCTCCCGCCCTCCTCCCTCATCGTCCTCCATGCTCATCCTTATGAACCTCCTTTTCCTCCTCCTCCCTCATTCATCCCATTATCACCTCTCCCTCCTCCTCCTTCTCCTCCTTCTCCTCCTCCTCCCCTCCTCCTCCCCCTTTTTTTGACAACCCAACGTCGAGGCGAGTGCACCGCGTCTAGAAGGGCAGCAGTACAGGTGTGGAGGACACTGAGAAAACATGAAGGGAGAAGAGATCGAAAGCCAGTGGGACCATTAAATACGCAAGAGAAGTGGAGACAGTCGAGAGGGCCCAGGGCTGTCTAGCTGGCAGGAGCTGATTCCAGCAAAGATGGTTGAGGGACGAGGTGAAAGTGGACGGCCGAGCCATCCGCAATCCCAGCTGTGATTTCTCGCACCACCGCGCTTCCATCCACCCGATGAACGGCCCACTTGTTCATCCACCCCCTGGATGGCCCAGTTCGCCCCCTCCAACTGCATCAGCCTCAGCCTCAGCCTCAGCCTGCCTCAGGCTCAGTCTCAGCCTGCCTCAGCCTCAGCCTGCCTCAGCCTCAGCCTCACCATTGGCTCTGGGCAATCACATCTGATACAGGAAGGGCGTTCTGGGAACACGAAGAACACGAAGTGGTCTACAGTTGGCTCCGGGCATTCAAAATGTGTCCTGGGAATGGTGTTCTGGGAACACGAAGAACACGAAGTGGCCTACAGTTGGCTCTGGGCATTCAACATGTGGCCTGGGAATGGTGTTCTGGGAACACCAAGCCTACAGTTGGCTCTGGGCATTCAACATGTGGCCTGGGAATGGTGTTCTGGGAACACCACGAACACGAAGTGGCCTACAGTTGGCTCTGGGCATTCAAAATGTGGCCTGGGAATGGTGCTCTGGGTTCAAAATGTGGCCTGGGAATGGTGTTCTGGGAATGGATTCCCAAGGATTCTTAAAAATGCCTAAGGATTCCTAAGGATTCCTGGGGCTGCCGGTCTTGTCCGGTTTTGTCCGGATCCCGCCCAGACCCCCTTGGGGAGTCATGATGCACGATTAGAAACCTATCAGCCTTCGCTGTGAGGTTTTTTTTTTTTTTTTTTTTTTTTTAAAAAAAAAAAGAAAAACGGTTTCCCTCGATGTAATATATCGTAAATCTCCCACGGCGCCATTTGCGAGAAGTTACTTTGCGAGTCGTGGAACGCGAGTAGTGGAACGCGAGTAGTGGAATGCGCTCATCCGCTTGCGGAGAGCAGCATGCCGCAGAAGCCCGAGCTTCCAGCGCTCCGCGCGGCTGTCCTGGGTCGGCGACGGGCCCCCCGGCGGCGCCTCCGGCGCCGCCCCACTGCGCGCTCCGCGAGCCCGGGCGGAGGGCCCGGCGCAGATCCGAGAAATCCGCGCGGACCGTCGGAAGCTCATGTGTGTATGCAAATGTTCCAGGTCCGATGTCGCGATTTTTGCAATGCGGGGCCCCCGGAAGTCTCGACCCATTCCCCCGGAACCGGATATTCATTTTGAGTCGTTTTTTGACGGTCCCGGTGCCCGGCGAGGGCCGCTATAGAGGCCGAAAATCGAGAAACACCTCCGTCTTGACTTTTTCAATACGTTGGAGGTCTGGGTCGATTTAAGAAGCACCCCTGCTTCTAGTAGCAGGCGCGGGCCTTGCCCATAGATGTAGGGCCGGCGCCTTTTCAGGAGCAGCCTTCCAAGAAGCCTTCCCCCATCCCCTTACACCCCCTTGTGCGCGCCGCCAGACCCAGACCCGGACGGGGCTAGGACGAGGACGAATCTGTTCCAGACCGTTCTGAGACGTCCTCAGAGCGTTCCGGAGCGCTCTGAGAAGGCCGCGACGCCCAGTACATCCTCCAGAGCCGCTCGGGATGGAAACTTGGTCCCCTGGGAGCGAGTCCGGACCGCTGGGGGTCCACGGCATGAAGCGACCATGACGTCGGGGGCCTGTCGAAGAAGAGTGAACGGCATAGACATCGACTTTTGGCGCTCCGCGCGGAGCGCCAAAAGTTTGTGTCTATGCAACTTGTTTCTTCTTCTAGTCTGGGGATGGGGCCCCGTCTCCAGGCCTCCCAACGTGGGGCTGGAGGGGACTGTTTTCGCATCCCCCGGCGCGTGACGGTAGTTGCCCAGGCCCCCCCCCCTGCCCGGGCAACGCCGTCAGTACCGCTCGTGCGTGGGGGAGGGGCCTGGGCCGCCCCCCACGTGCTGGTGCTCGCGCGCAGACCGTAGCGATCGTGGCGCACCCCCGCCCCTCCCCCTGCCCGAGCGTTTGCGTTACCCCGCCCCCCCGACCCCACCAGGTGACGACCATTACCCGAAAGGATACAAGGATGAGTCGGGGGTGGACAGACCTCCTACTCTGACACGTCGATTGGTGAATTGGCCGTCTTCGGTTCGCGGGAGGGCGTCGCGGCCGTCGTTTTTGCGGGTCCAGGTCCGTCGGTTTCGGTCCCAGGCCGTTTTCGCTAAGGGGAGGTTTACTAAAGGGAGGTTTGTCCACCGCCGAATGAGATCGAGCTCGAGCAGCTGGGGTCGGAGGATTGCGGCCGCATCGCTGATGCCTCGGTGATGCGGCTCGATGTGGGGCCGATTTCTCTGCGCCCACGGCGCCCTTGCATCGCCGACGTTGCCGATGCATCGGCGGCGCGTCGGTGATGCACCAGTGATGTGGCGCGACCCTCCAGCCCATCTCTACTCGGACTCCATTCGGGAGACATCCACTGTCGGAGGTTGATAGAACCCCCGCCCTGCCAAGTCGATCAGCGCATTGCCCCTCGGGAGTGGGCTGCGGCCACAGTGATTGCGGGGCTGCGCCCACCGGGTCTGGTCCAGGGTCGGTTTCACTGATGTGTGTTTTGCAAAAGGGGGTCTTGTCTCCCCCCGACCCTGATGGATCAGACCATGCGGATCTTGGCACCGCTCGGACACCAGCGCGGCGCCGTTCGGGTCACCTTGCGAGAAGATGCACGCACGAAAATGCACGCGGTATGAACGTCTGAGCGATGGCGAGGGATACTCTGGATGGGGCAATAATCGCCCCCCCCTTTGATCCGCTGGGGGGGTTGGGCACGTGCTGTCGGAACGGGTGGAGGGGGATTGGAGGAGGAGGAGGAGGCGAAGGAGGAGGGGGGAGGAGGAGGAGGAGGAGGAGGAGGAGGAGGTGGAGGAGGAGGTGGAGGAGGTGGAGGAGGTGGAGGGGAGGGGGGGGGAGGAGGGGCAAGCTCAGTCGAAGGTTAGTCGCCCACCCCTCGAGTAGTATCCCACTCAGCGCAGGAACTGGGCTTCTGGATGGGACTTCGGTCCTCTTCCAAGGCTTCTCCTCGCCCTGGGGCCCCCCGCCTCGGGGCCCTGTCCCTCTGGAGTGCCGAGGTCGTGAACGTGATCGTGTGCCCAAGCGTCCCCGCCTACCGCGACGAGGTCCTGCGGCGCGCACAGCAAGGGGGGTGGAGGCGGAAGGGCGCCCGCTGCCCAAGGCAGGAGGAAGGCCAGGGAGGGAGGGGGGGGGAGCGCCCGCTGCCCAGGGCAGGCGGGCGGCAAGGAGGGTAACGCAGCTGCTGCACAAATCAGGAGGGGGCTGCAAGGAAATTGGCGGCACCTGCTCCAGAGGACAGAAGGGAAGACACCCACCACCACCACAGCCGGGTCTCTCGACGGCCCGTCGGTGTTCCACCTTTCCCCCCCCCCCCGGGGGGGCTTCCTGGAAGTCACGGGGCCCATGAGAAGCAGTTCCTGCTCCTGCGAAGCTTTCATGGGGGCCTCAAGTCCCTTCCAAGGAGGCCTCCAGGCCCGTCTCACAAGGCCCCCCCGCCCTCGTAGAAGGCCGCCCCTCTGGCGCCCGCCCCCCCCCCCCCCTGCGCGCGCCGCCAGCAGGTCATCGTGGCGTCGGACCCCAGGGGGCCCCCTGCGGGCCAAGGCACCAGTCCTCGGCGTCGCAGGTGCAGCAGGTGCCGCGGCCGCATGGGCGACAGCTGCCCGTGCGCTCTGCGTCAGGGCGGCAAGAAGAGCGCCGCGTGCGGCCTGGCGCTGGCCGCGCCGACGCCCGCGCTGCCGCGCTCGCACGCGCACGCCATCGCTGTCAAGAACGTGCTCGTGGACGCCGAGGACCCACATCGGCTCGGCCGGTTCTTCAACGTCTTTGGCCGTTCACGGGCCCCCGGGGCCATGACTCACCGCTTCAGGATGGAAGTTGGCCCCGGGGGAAAATCTAGGCCTCCCAAGTGGAGTCAGAGCAGATGGGGTCGGAGGATCGCTCCGCATCGCCGAATCATTGACGGTGCGGCTCGATGTGGAGCCCGATTTGCTCCACGCCGACGTCGCCGATGCATCGCCGATGGCATCGGCGGTGCATCGCCGATGCGTCGGCGATGCGGTGCGATCTTCCGACCCCACCCAAGCCCACCCCCCCGACGTCATCATTGTTTCATGCCGTCGACCCCCAGAAGTCTCGACCCTTTCCCCACGACCCGTGGTTCATCCTGCATCGTTTGTAAGAGGTCCCGAGGCCCCGCAGGGGCGTCCCAGGCCGGAAATGGCGAAAGACTTACCGCCGTGGTTGTTCATGATTTGAGGGGCGCCATCACTTGATTGCCACCACGACGACGACGACGACGACGACGACGACGACGACGACGACGACGACGACGACTACTACTATTATTAATATTTCTACTAACTACTACTACTACTACTACTACTACTACTACTACTACTACTACTACTACTACTACTACTACTACTACTACTACTACTACTACTACTACTACTACTACTACTACTACTACTACTACTACTACTACTACTACTACTACTACTACTACTACTACTACTACTACTACTACTACTACTACTACTACTACTACTACTACTACTACTACTACTACTACTACTACTACTACTAC